ACCCCTAAACCCTAAACCCACAGACCAAAACTCATCAGAGCCTCGCTCCCCGTGGCGGAGATCTTTCCGAGACTCCGGGAAGTGAGCTCTCCCATCCTTACCAGGACCCCCCAATGGCCCNNTATGGTCCTTAATAGTGGGTACTTGGGGCTATAATAGAGGGTAGTTGGGGGGTCTAGGTAGAGCAGAGCGGAATAGGGTTTTGGGGTTTAGGGTTTAGGGTCTAGGGTTTAGGGTTTGGGGGTTTAGGGTTTGGGGTTTAGGGTTTGAGGTTTTTAGGGTTTCGGCACTCGCACTCGAACCCTGGGCGAGGTTCCTGGTACGTGGCTAGAAGCTCGGGTTTAGGGTTTACGGCTTAGGCAAGGGGCCTTAATAATTGGAATAGCTTTTTTCTGGGGGGGGTTATATTACACTGCAACTATATCATCAAGGAGACCCCCCTAAAATAGTATTCATAAGCATTTCGGCCCCGATGTGTTCTCTGTATGAAGTAAGTTATTGGGACCAGGCCTTGGCTACCTGCCTGTTCTGTCTTTATTTACGTATCTGACGATTCTTCGCCTATGTCTGTTTCGTAGCTGCGTTCATGCTGGTTTTCTGGTCTTTCGTCAGAGCTTGTAAGGGCTGCACACCATCCGCACGCCAGTTTTTATCAAGGTGTCTGGCGTGGAGAGTCTAACCTTATGTTTTTGTCAGTTGCTAGCATATTTTGGTTCCCCAGGGCAAATGAACTTGGTTTCGACTCACACAGTCGCAAATGCAGGCATGGCAATAAGTGAACTTGGTTTAGGGATTAGAGTGTAGGGGTGTGGGCATGTGACTTCATGTCTTGTTGCTACTAGGTCATGGGACTTCAATTAGCGCTCGGGCATGTAGCAGACTTGAGATCCGTATGTACTGCACTCTCCACAGTCGTTCCTTTTGCTTCTTACCCTGCTTCTTTTGTAACGGATCCTAAGAACAAGCTGGGCAACCCAAAAAGGAGCTACATTGAAGACTGTAGGTAATGGTCTAGCCATATGTTTCGTTGCTTCATGTGGAGGGTGTTGCAAGTCTTGCAGTGCTGCAGTTTCGCGAGGGATTGTTCAATACCGGCTTAATTACATCAGAGCTCGCTGCTGGCTTAAGCATTTGGAAACAATTCCAATACACTGTTCGTGGAAGACCAAGCTTTCTAGGACCTGACCCTAACACGCACTTGTCTGTCGCCCGAGCCCCATTCAACCAATGATCTAAAGTCAGAGCGGCCATGCGGCGCAGAATCGCAATGACATTATCCAATGCAGCTGCCGTGCTCGAACTCACAACAGCAACAAACATGCGGTTGCTGAAGGCAACATGTCGACACTGATGTTGCAAACACTTGCAAGAACGACGATCACCATCAACCGCAGTAACGATGCGAAACCTCAATGCAAGCTACTACAACCAGTAGCACTATGTGCATCCCGCCTTTCATTCTGGACAGCCAAGAATCTGAGCTGCATCCGTAGCTGAGACCAGAAGCCTCAACAGTTCTTTGGTGAGCGTGGGATGATGAAGACGGGCTGCAAGGAGCGTCACGCGGGGTTCAGGATTCCCCGCAGCTTTTCAAGCTGTAGCTTCCTCACACAGTGCCGAACTGTGGGTACGACTGCTTTGACTGCATCGGCTCCGGTGAAAGGGAACTTCTTATCATATGCTCACCAGCCTCATGCAGGACATCCTGATAAAGCCGGAGCCCACATAAAAGCACAAACGAACCCGATCTCTGACAGCTTAAACCCTCATTGCCCAAATCCCTGAAACAAAAGCTCTCTAAATACTGATTCCCGCCACACAAACCCAAAAGCCCAACACCCTTAACCCCAAATTAAGCCGCCACCAAGGGGCGTGGAGCGATTCTGCTCCAGCTGCGACAAGGGCAGCTGCGGCACACCACTTCCCTGCCGAAAGAATTCTCCCCGACTCTAAAGCTCACTGAGAGTTTCTAAGTTGTCCTTTAAGCCCTGTGAAAATTATTTACTATTATGGTTCTCTACAAAATAGTAATCCCAAAAGACAACCCAGGTTTTCGCCCTTTGTTGACATACGAACACAAAAGCAAGAGCACCGGAGGTAGCTCCCTTCCACAAACACACTTGCTAGCACATCCTGATCTGGTCGCACAACCCTATCCGTAGGGGACTACTACAAGTGCTCGATCTCTCCAAAAAACCAAGCCCCTCTTAATATAAGGGCCTTGATAATTAGAATAGGGTTTGGGGTCTACTATACCATATTTATCATAAGGAACCCCCAAAAGAATAGTGTAGGTAATTGTTGTAGAATGCTCAAACTGGCCCATCCGGGCCAAGCAGACACGGGTCTAGGAACCCAAAAGGGCACCCACAGCTCGCATGGCCTGCCAGCTACTGCGCCGTTCTACACCCTCTTTACGAGTACAGGGATTTCAATAATTACTTGTTCATGGTTGGGGTAGTATTAAAAATTTAAATCTATATTCCTTATTGGGTTTAAGTACCCTTAAAAATGTAAAATGTTACCCAACTATGACAAAGATTAGACTACCGCTCTGGGCATTTCATCGTGCAAGTACCTCACAGTAAGCAACCCTGAGGGAGAGTATTTTCACTTACCGAACCTAAACCCTAAACCCTAAACCCTAAACCCTAAGGGGGGAGCTTGGGGGTCCCAGAGTGCCACATATTCGCCTGAGAAGCAGCGGATGGAAAGGAACTTCTGTGAGACTGCTCTAGGATTCTGGGCCTTGGCTTACCAGGATTCCGGCTGCCTGCATGTCGAGTTTATTATGATTCTGGCCCTCTTGGCGGAGAAAGATTCGGGTTTTCGGGGCCCTAGACCCTAAACCCTACAAGACGGGCCTGTGCACGCTGGAGTTCCTCCTGCGCCTGCTGCCGCAGATCTTCGGAACGCCTGGCATCGGATGCACGAGCTCAGAGGGCTTTTGGACCATATCCTCATTATGGGACCGTTTCACACCCATGTGATCCTAAGTCTCTAATGAATGTGTACAAAGCTCGAAAATCCCAAAAAAAAGGGAAGAGAAGAGCCGGTGTTTCAGTAAAGACTTTTTGGTGGCCCTCGAGCTTGGCAGGGCTTAGGAATTACACCCTGTACGCCCTCAACTCTAAACCCTATAACCCCTATAAGCCCTATAAACCCTCAACCCTAAACCCTAAACCACCACTTTGCAGGTCCGCAGGCGAGTCTACCGAAAGGGTTCCGTCAGAAGAAGCATTTTTCGTCTGAGCAGATCAGACCCTGCCTTGCTGCATCCGCATCACTCACGACTTCCTCAGTGGAGGGTTTAGGGTTTAGGGCTTTAGGGGTTTAGGGCTGAATAAATGCAGCAGATCTCTCGGCTCAAGCACCCGTAGGGGGGTCGTATACACCTACAGCCCAGTAGGGAACGGTGCGAACCGATGATCAAGAATCTCGCAAGATTATCCCTGCAGAACTGCCTCTTGGACATTGCCACTACTTCTCAATATGTTTTCCACACAGAAATCATGCCATGCAGATGCCGTGACGATCCTAGTGATCTTGTCTGGTCTTGTCACGAACCACAGCGACGACGACGACCACGACTCTTCCGGTCGTGGTCTTTCTACCAATGGCACCATGAATCTCATAGATGCGCTATTGCTGTTGAATGTAGAATCAGCAACTCTTATCTCATCTGGCTGGCTGATATTTGGTAGACTTTCTCGGGGCGTAGACTCTAAGGATCTTCGAGATGTTTAGTGCTGGACCGAAGACTCAGGATGGTAGGGTGCTTACCTAAGGATCGAAAAGGTTGGTCGGTCCAGAGTTCTGTAATTCGGGCCAGCGTGTCGTCTTCCCAGCTCCTACCTAGACCCCAAACAACCTTCCTTTTTAAGGACTTATAATAGGAAATCATAATAAGGAGCCCTAAAACGGTAGGTTCTTTGGGGTCCAGGTACACCTACAAACTTAAAACCCTCAACCCCATGAGTTCCTGAACCGACAGCACTTGAAAATGAGTCCTCAGCCCAGTAGACCCTAAACCCCTACGGGACACTTAATGTAGGGGCCTCAATAATTAGGACAGGGTTTTGGAGCTCGTTCTACTACAACTATAATAAGGCACCCCGCCCCCCACAATGGTATCGGTAATTGTTAAGGCCCCTATAGTACAGAACTCTACAATCAGAAACCCTAAACCGTAAACCCTAAACCGTGGAAACCTTTGAGGCTTTTGTGGATGCGAGCTCGATCCTGAAGCCGCGACTCTGCGGTGCGAGCTTGAAGTCACAAAGTTTAGGGCTCAAAAGCTTAAGGTTTAGGGTTCAAGAGTTTAAATTTAAGGTGTAGGATTCAACAGTTTAAGGTTTAGGGTTCACAAGATTGAATTCAAGGTTTAGGATTCAAAAGTTAAAGCTTTAGGGTTTCGACAGGGTTTAGGGTTTAGGGGCCGTGGATTCCTGAATCGCTGAGCTCAGCCGCACCAGCCGTTAAGGCGTTCACGGCAACTCTACTTGGAATCTCGGCAAGAAGCATCTGCAAAAAGCAGGCACACCTTAGTCCCTCAATTTTTATACTTCGAAAGCAGCTACCCAGAGAACCCAATACCCCTTAATTAAGGAATATACCTTAAACCATAATATTAAGACCCCTATAATTTAAGGTATATTCCCTAATTAAAGTGTATTGGGTTCTCTGGGTAAGCTGAAGCCGAAACCCTGCAAAACCTGGAAAACCTAAACCCCTAAACCCTAAACCCTAAACCCTAAACCCCTAAACCCTAAACCCTAAACCTGGAAGGCTAAGCTGGTGTAGAGGCAAGCGGCAGTTGAGGCCACCTGGCCAGAACCGGAAGACTGAGTGGAAGATGTTGGGCTGGGCTTAGGGTTTAGGGTTTAGGGTTTAGGGTTTAGGGTTTAGGGTTTAGGGCTTAGGATTTTGGGATGATTCCGGGGGAAGCGAACTCGCACCGAGATGACGGCTGCTGTGTGACAACAGCCAATGATGAGCATCGCCAACACGCTCTATGGCGTCCCTGCAAACGGATACCAATTTCAAAATCGAGAATGAAGAAAAGTTCCCCGACGAACTGCCGAAGCCCGAAGGCCCAGTAAGTGCCGCCTCCCCAACCCCAGTTCCAGGATGCAGGCCTCTGATTGGGCTTTCCAGGTTCTACCCGAAACCTGGGAGCCCCAAGAATAAAGCCGAATCGGGCAAGCAACACCGAAAAACCTCAAAACCCGAAGACCCGCGTTAAAACAAAAAAGGCAAGCACCAAGCCGTGCACACGGTGATAGAACTCCTCTAGAAGCTGACAGGAACCTTACGAAATAGCCCTTACAGGAAGCCCCAGGAGCGCCGTGCGAGCTTAGACCCTGTGTCACACCCCAAGCCCTGAACCCTACAACAACCGAACGCCCCAAAACCCTGAGGCAACCTCTGCTCTCCACAAGGGTAGTTCTCTAAATTAGGGTCCCTTTTGGTGTCCTTTTTATAAGGGTGCCGTACTATATTGTGGACCCAAAAGGGACCCTATTTTAGAGAGCTACCCACCTGAGAGCTCGACATCCCAAAGATTGAAACCCTAAGACCTTACATACTAAATCCTTAAACCCTAAATCCTTACAAACCCTCAAGACCCTAAGAGCCCGAATTAAACCCTAGAACCTTAAACCCCAAAGGCCCTAAGACCCCTGATTAAACCCTAAAGCCTTAAATCCTAAATGCTAAACCCCTAAACCCTGAAACCTTATACCCTAAAGACTCTATAAGACCCCCAAGACTAAACCCTAAAAACCACCACCAAAATTGCTCAAACCCTGAAGACTCTATAAGAAACCCATACTTGAACCCAAAAAAACCCTTCAGACAAAAAGCTCAAAAGAAACCTAAACCCTAAAACCCTAACCC